AAAGCCAAAGATAATACTAACGGTGAAAAAAGGTGACAACACCAACAACGAATGGCGATGTTAAAAAAAAAAAGGTTAGTTAAAAAAAAAAAAGATCTGTATATTTATTTTTGTTATGTTAATTTGTGTAACAGAAAAGAGCCAACATGGTTACGTGATTCCGAGATAAGATCAGAGATCGATTAATCACATGATCCAGAAAATCTCACCTACATCCTGGATCTGTCATGATACAGAGATATATAGGATCCTGCATAATTGGCTTGTAAAGGTGCATAATTATGAGGTTTGTATTAAATTTTAACATAATATAGATCAAAAATAATACTTTGGATAATCAGCAAAACAATATGGTAGTTTAAGCCCTGCATGATTTTATGCAGAATATTTTCAAAAAATAAATAAATATTTTCGCAGGAAATCATTGTCCCTGCCCGGCCTAAAATTAATTAAATTAACAGTATTAATGTCTTAAATTATTGTATAATAACCTAAAAATGTCTATTACTATGAATCTTAAAACAAATTGAAAATAAGTATGAAATCACTCGAAGCTATCTAACATGATATGATCCCAAGATAAAAATTACTCTTATACTTTATTTTATATCAAGCCTCATATTGTGATCAGATTAATCGTTTTTTTTTATTTTCTGAGGATCATAAAAAATCTGATTCTGAAATTTTAAAGTCAATTTCTTGTAATTCTAAAAAAAAAAAATTAAATAAATAAAATCCAATATATATACAGTATTTACTTAATCAGTATAACTTTTTCCAATGATCATTTGAACTGAATTTCCTAACAAAAAGGAAAGCTCTTTCGATATTGGAGAGTAGCAATAATCTGTAGTAAGGTGACATCAACAGAGTGGTTTTTATAAAGGTCAACCTTCTCTACCTATTAGGGACTCCTTTATATATTCAATATGCAAGCCAGAAGTGTCAGTATACAAGATAACTGGCAGATGATAGTGCCTTTATATACAAAATTTTGGTGGATAGGTGGAGATGATAAAGTCCAAGCCTTCTATCGACGAAACTATCGGTTGTGAAACAACTGGGGAACAGTAAAGAATAGGTTTTTCTCAAGCCGCTCTTATTTATTTGGTCAAGTGGTTCCTTTTTTACTCTTTTTCATCTCCTCATTGGTCTTCCAAAAAATTTGATAAAAAGTAGGGATTTGGCTTACCCTCTCCAAAAGATCGGCATTGTTTACATCCAAAATTTGGATGAACTAGCAGAATACAACCATGTGTTTGTTTATAGACAAATATGGCACTATTTCACAGAACTCAGCCTGGAAACTCTAATTACAGTAGTAGGTGGCTTGAGATACAGGTCCTTCTTGGGTTAGAGTAAGTGTAACCCTCGGACAATGGCAGCACCTGGCTTGAGATACAGATTAGAATAGGCAACAAAGTAATTCAGAGTTGTGGAAAGATCAGAAAGTGACTTTAATGCTAGGGTGAAGCTTACAGAAGAGATATACAAGCATTGACATAATTTTTACCAGCCTTGCACGGGTTATAATAGTGCCTTTAGGATCTTAGATTTCTTTTTATATTTTTTTCTTTTTCGTAATCTGTTTTTCTTTTTTCTTTTGTGCTTTTTTTGGTTTTTTCTTTGTTAGTCGTTTTCGTATTTTTTTTTTTTTTTAAACTTTTTCACTCTTTGTCTCGTGCCCCTTGAGAAGAAGGGAAAAGTGAGGTTTTGACGAGTTGGGTCTGAGCCCAAGCTATACTATATCTCTGCGCTATGCCACATGGGGGGTATAGTAGCAATCATCAGTGCGATAATCAAAGTTGGGCATCTCTATGGGACAGCCGGCTTTTAGTCTAATTAAACATTAAGTGTTTAATCTTGTATTGAATGTCAAATCTTAATAAACTTTTAGTATGCAGTTATCAAAAGAAAAAAAAAATATATAATTTACTTAATCAATATTTGTATCAATTGAGTCATAACATAATTTATGTTGTGACCTAAAGCGAGTATTGATCAAAAAACATGCTTGATTATATTGCATACCAATATATTTTTCTATATTTAAATCAGGAATTTCAATTAAATTTACAGGATTAGAGAGATCTAAATATTTGAGAAGTCTACTCAGATAGATAGCTTTTGTATGAATAGATGTTGAAAATTTCGTTTCATTAGAGAAATCTTTAAATAGATCAGATGATCTTCAAAAATTAAATATTTCTTCTAATTGATTTGCAGTTGGCCATTTAGAAGCATCAGCATTTATACATTGATTTGCTAAATCAATATAAATTTGTGGTATTTCTTTCACAAATTCTGGCCTGTAACCTTGACATATGGAACATACCAATCCTAACCCATGTTTATGATCATAATAAGCAGGTTTTCCAGTAGTGAATTCAGACATAATTACACCTAAACTGTACACATCTGATGCTTGAGAATAAGGTTTGCCATTAAGAACTTCTGGTGCAATATAGGGCAAGACACCATAAATATTATTCTTATCATAAGTAGGTTAAAAAGTTGATTGAGATAATCCTAAATAAACAATAAAAGCTGATAAACCAGAAATTAAAATATTGCCGTTATGTAAATTATGATGAACTAAATTCAATTTATGAATTATTGAGAGCCCAGAAGAGATAAAATATAAAATTTCTAATTTAATGGACCATCTTTGATTTGCCACTTCTGGCATTTAATACTTTAAACTTCCTTCTTCTATATAAAACATAACAATCATATAATCTATTGTTTCTGCTGTTAGTGATGTTTTTAAACCACAATATTTATGAAAAGAGAAGTGCCTTTTCTACTATAATAAATTAATGAAATTTGATAGTCATTATACAAAATTGAATTCATTTAACTTTATTAATTATAAGCAGATAATGTCAATAATACCAATAAACAAAGTATATCACCTCATTGAAAAAGTCTTCAGTGATATTTGATGATTCATTTAACTTTTTAATAGTGACTTCCCACCCTTCAATTTTGTTCGGAGAATCCGATTGAATATCATCATTTTCACAACCAATTCGTAATTTTCTATTAATCCAAGCCCACTGTTTTTCTTTATGATCTTATTCAATAATGTAACTATCTAGCCATATAGCAGTATATATTTTACTATATCCCACGGCCCCTAATGTTCTCCCGTAAACATTCCTGATGATATTTTTATGATTACGTAATGCTGTGAAAATATCAAAAAATTTTTCACGGCCATGACGTAATCAGTAAAAATTTTAATCAGAAATATTACGGGCATAGGAACCGTGGGATATAAAAGATATT